AAATTTAAGGAGTAAAGTAAAAAAGTTGTCTAAAAATAGTTTCTACAGTAAAGTATAGATGGCCAAAATTTCTATTTAAGTAAGATAACAAATTATTTATACTTTGTTACTTGACACCTCTGTCCGTACTGCGAGTTTTTTGTCCCCGGAATGAAATTCTAGTGTATTTTCAGGCAGGCATTTGTAAGGACAACTTCAAAGAGATCAGGGGCCCTTTAGGGGTCCTTTAGGTGTCCCTGTTGCATAGAAACGCATCGTCTGGGACGGTAACCTAACAATTCTCCCTCAGTGAGAAACTAGATTAGAAACCATTTTTTTAGTAAACAAAACTCGTTCAAACAGTGCAGTCATTGTTAGTTTTTTAAGTCAGGTTTTGGTTGGGTTTTTACATCCTAAATCGTCATGACAAGTGAAACGTAATGATCGAAGTCAAACCTTAGCTTGAAACCAGTAACAACAGCACGCGCGCTAGTCAGTCCGTGTTGTTCTAATATGGTAAAATAGAAAGCGCTGAAGCGGATAAATAAGCGCTAATGAAGCTGACTGACACGATGGTAAGGGCTGCTAGCATTTAGCAGGCTAACTAGCGGCTTTACATCAACACTGACTTTGGGGTTACACCTGGTCGTCATCTTTGATACGAGAAATTACCAAGGAAGCGGTAGGAAATGGCTGGCAGCATATCTGAAGTGGACCAAAATAAATACGATACAGACGAACAAGTGAAGATCATCTGCCTTGGAGACAGCGCTGTTGGTAAATCAAAGTGAGTCTCAGCTGAAATCTGACTTTTTTTTCTCTTTTCAAATCTCCTGAGATGTTATATCGTGTGTCTTTTCTCCACAGGCTGATGGAGCGGTTTCTCATGGATGAGTTGTATCCTTCTGTTAATTATACATTTAATATACGCCAACATTCCTGCTCTCCAGATCGTTAAAGATCTTTAACACTTTCTGCAGTCGTCCACAGCAGATGTCCACATATGCTTTGACTCTGTACAAGCACACGGCGTCAGTAGGAAACAAGACAGTCACAGTTGGTGAGCTTTTGATCTTGGAAAAATAGTTTTAGCTGATTGGAAGATCCCATTTTAAGAGTGGCTTCTCATATGATCCACAGATTTCTGGGACACTGCTGGTCAGGAGAGGTTTCAGAGTATGCATCCTTCATACTATCACAAAGCTCATGCCTGCATCATGGTGAGACACAATAAAAAAAAGAACATTATTTTCATTGTTTATTTGTTTGTAAGTCAATATTTAATTTAAAGAACTAATTCCTTTCATAAATCGGTCTACATGTGCTTTATGACATCAGATAATGCAGCTGTCCAGAGCTGGTGTTGTCAGGTTTGATGATTACAGGGTTTTACTTGTTTAACGTAAAGATGTTTCCTATTTATTTCCTCAGGTCTTTGATGTTCAAAGGAAGATCACATATAAGAATTTAGCCAACTGGTATAAAGAGCTGAGAGAGTACAGACCTGAGATTCCCTGTTGTGTGGTAGCCAACAAAATTGATGGTAAGTCTGGTTGTTAAAGAAAAACTCAGCTATTTCTTGTTTTCATGACCAGGAAAGTGATTATCAGATTAAAGTGAGAATTTTATTTCTCCCCTCTGCAGCCGACTTGAAGGTCACACAGAGAAGTTTTAGCTTTGCAAAGAAACAAGGCCTTCCATTTTACTTTGTCTCGGCAGCGGATGGGACCAATGTCGTTAAGGTTTGTCCTTCTTGTTTTCTTATCAGTGGTTTAATAGCCAGCACTTATCAGCATTATTTGATGGTGTTTTAAAGCTTTCTATATGGTGGAAGGGCTTAACAGTCCAGGTAGAAAGTACTGTAAACCAAAGCTAAACACACATTCATTTGGGAGTTCAATTTAATTTGGTTCAGCTTTTAAGTCATTTAAATGTAAGTTTTAGAAATGTTTTTTTATACTTCATTAATGTCTTATATTTAAACCATGTTTTGTTTTTAGAGACTGTAATGTTACCTGCAGAAACTTAGAGTTTGAACTGTTCAGTGAGTCTGCTGCTGTTAACTGTCCCGTCAGATGTTCAGGGAGATGATCAAGAGAGCCGTGGACTACAAACAAAACCCCAGTGACTTCATGGATGAAGTGTTGGAAGAATTGGAGGTGAGCCTCTTAGGTTTTTTTGCTGCATTAATTTTCAGATTCTTAAAGAAAACCTGCATGTTTTCATCATTAATGACACAATAATTAGCTGTAAAGGATAAAATTTTTTCCCTGCGCTTCCTCCACAGAACTTTGACCTGGACACAAAGGAAAACTCAGAAGCTGATGAGAATGGGTTGAAAGCAGAGAGTCCAGATTTGGCTTGAAATATTTATATTTTTTTATATTTTCTACCCATCTGAATAGTCATTTTATCAAATAGATATTTGGAGTTTAAAAAAAAAAAAATAATTGTGTTCATTTTTCCATCACTGCACTGTCAACTGGCACATTTATTTTTATTATTGAATACCTTTTAACCAACTGGAAGGTCTCCTGAAATGTTCACGTGATCAGTTTTATCACAACCCTCCATCTATCTGGTGTAAAGAGCTGGGAATTTAACCCCCCCGAAAAGAAAAAAAAAAAAGTTTTAAAACCATTATTGGGATAATAGAATAATTTCCTAAGTGTGTCAAAAACTGTACTTGATGTAATAACAATGTGAAGCATGAAAACTGACACAGCAAAGATAATGTGCGATTACAAGTGTATTTCCTGCAGTTCTCAGTGTCTGTGTGTAGAGCTGTGTGGAGCGCCAGCAGGCTGCTGCATCTGTCGGATGATTTACTTGCATTTATTTTATAGTGTCAAGTTTCTTCTCTAGCGCCTGGTAAATGAAAGCCTAATGTACCCTATAACCAACTGTGATCATGACCCTTTGCATCTTGCTGTGATGCAGTATAATCAACTGAGAACATCAGCGTTTTATAAGAAACAGCTGCTACTCATACAGGAGTCTATAACTGTGAAGCTAAGCATTGTTAATAAGCATAATGTTTAACATTTGTTCTGAAATCTCAGATTATTTATGAAATGTTAGAATAGTTTTAAGCAAACAACAGTTTGGACAGCCTGTAACCATTTTAAATACCCTTTGGTGCATAAGTTGATAAAATAATGTAATTTTGTTGGTACATCTTGTGTTGAAATTTGTGGTTTATTACAAATAATGTTAAAAATGATCCCAGGTTGCATCTTTCAATTTATTTTATTCATTGGGTACCCTGAGATTATATTGGCATGCTTATAATTCTTTTCATATATTGAATCAAACGGTCGCTCTGTTACTCTTCCATGAAGTAAAAGGTTACAAAATCAGCCCCAAAGCATGACAGAGCCAAGTCTGTGTTTAACAGAGGGAGAAGATGCTTTTTTTTTTTTCATGCTTTCCTTCAAAGAATTAATCTTATTTTTTGACGAAAATATTCATGTCAATCAGTGTGTCTATCAGAATTAATTTCAAGACATTAGACTTTTAAAACTGTTTTTTTAAATATATATATATATCACTGAAGATTATGATGTGTATATATATATAATGTCATCTATTAATTGTGTCCCCTGGAGGAAGCTGTCTTTTTGCATTCATAGTCCTATAAAGTGAAGAGCTTCTCTGGACATATTTACTTTAATTAAGCACAATCAATTTAATGATGTCTTAAACATTTTGAGACCTTTTCAAAAACAGGTTTGGTTGAGAATTTATTTAACGATTCCAAAGATTCCATCTTAATCCAAGTTATAAACTATGAACTGAGATAATAACATAAGTATATTTTAAAATAGCAGTTCTGTCACGGGAATTTATCATCTCGTGAATTTTTAATAGGCTTTTATAAACAGTTATGATACAATAAAGAATCTTTTAGAAGAGGAAAAGAAGAATATAGTTTAGGTGAATTTGAATTTATTGTAACTTTTCAATAATAGCATCTAGATTATATTATTTATGTTTAGTTGATATTAAAGCTAAAATAATTAAAATCAGAACAAATTATTATGGGGAAAATATTTGCTGAATCACTAAAGGTTTTAAGTAAGTCCCATCAATTTGTTATTCTTCAAAAAGCTGCAAGCATAAATCTTAATCTACAACCACTGCTTTAGTCTGAATAAATTAAGTTTATGATAATTTTTTGATTTTTCAATCCTAAACCAGGCTTGTAGGTATAGTTCACCCCTCTTGAGATCATTGTTCAAGAAGCTTTCTGTTTGCTTTATATCCTAAAAACAGCATTGGTGTTCATTGCCCTGAGTCAGAAATATAATCAAGTAAAAAAAAAAAAAAAAAATGATTTCGGGTTTATCTGAAGCTTTCAAAATCATACACATTTAAATGTTTTTAGTGTTATTATATATATTTGAATATAGAATTTAAACAACAATGATAGAATAGCGAGTTATGCCTCTAATTCTGGTGGTAAAATAATTTTTGAAGTTGTATGATCAATTTAGGTGAGTTAATATTTAGTACTTTATTGTTATCACTAGATTAACATCTTGTTTATAGATCTTTAAATCTTTGAATTACATTTATTAGAGCTTTAGATCTGCTGTTTCCTTTCTGATATATTATGTAAAAAAAAAAAAGAAAAGGCATATTCAAATGTTTTGGAGCCAAAGAACTCAATGAATCGTTTTAAATAGTAAGACACTAAAGCAGGAGCAAAAATATGCCACCTCATGTTTTAATAATAAATTTATTACATAATATAACAAACATATATCTCTGTGGTGGAGATATCCAGGGCAACGTCTCAGATCTTGCCTCAGCCATTTTCCACCGCCCTTGCTTTGTTTGCCTGGAGAAAATTAGGTAGCTTCTGGTTAGGTAAGGTTATTAGCATAGGCCTATATGTGTCGGATGTTCATGTAAAGGTGTGTGGGGGGAGCAGTGGTGGATGAGTTGCTGATGAAAAGCCAAAAAAAGGACGTTCTCTTGCGAGACAAGGCCGAGGCGTTGCAGTGATACATCCACCATTCTAAACTTCACAGTGCAAACAAGGAAAAAAAAACAACAATGAAAGAAACAAAACCTCTGATGATAATATCACTGGTTCCAGTGTGCCGACGGGTACCAGGGAATTCTTAAGAAAAGTCACATTGCTTTTCCTAAACTATGTAGATTGTGCTTTGTTGATTAAGAAATATAAAGAGACAAACTCTTTCTCAGAACTTATTTGAACGAATGATGTGTTCATCTGTTACTCGCTGTTTACTCAAATGTTTTGACTTGTTAACTTCGACAACAACCCAACTCAACCAATCTAATCAGGCCAGCCCTCTAATCAGGACAGACTTTCTCTGGGATAAAAACTCATCATTCAAATCAAGTAGCGGAGTCGCTATATCTTGAAACTGATAGAACAATGTTAAAGTAGAAAAACACAGGCTTTATATATGTATATACATACATTTATATGGAGACATTTATATAGCCTGTGTCTATATGGCGTAATAAATACAGGTGCAGCTTAATGAAATACATCATAGAAAAGATCAATTATTGAGTTCAAAAAGTTAAATCCATTTATAATGTATTTAGCAAACACAGGGTAATGTATTTCAAGTGTTTACCTCTTGTAATTTTGATGATTATGATCTACACCTTATTAAAACTTTAGAAATTCGAGTCGAAATGAGACGTATTTAAAACGATTTCTAACACATTAATGTTCAATAATTGAACCCGTGACAGTTATCCAAAAGGCAGTCATTGATATTGTGGAGGGTGCAGAGGAACTCCCTCATCACAGAGTGTTTTATCTGAGAAAATAAATGGAAAGTTTAGTGGAAGGAAAACGTATGTTCTAACAGCGTGAGCGGAAGCTAGAACTGGAGCCTGGAAGCTCAGTTAACTGGGTGATATGAGTTTAAAACAAACATTTTGTCTTTGATCCCATGTAATAAATCCTTTTTCTGATTACCTGAATTTGGAGTTTTGTTTTAGCTCCTAGTCACAATCATCAAATTTAATAGAGCTAAACATTGAACATTAATTTAATGAAACAAATCAATGAAATCGTAATTTGTTTTTTTTTCTTTTTTGCACTGAATACAGAAACTGATAAATCTTTCAGTGATGTTTGTATTGATTGAGCCGCACCTGTACTTCCACCTGCAGGAAAATACCAAAGGATCAAGAAAATGTCGATTCTCAAGATTACCAGGAGATGGCACCATATTGTTATAATACACAAGAGCCTAAGAATGCTGGAACTAAGGTAGTCCTAAACCATAAGACAAGTATACAGTTAAGTGACTTTTTGGCACATTTTTTGTGTTGTTTGTTCCTCACTGGATCATCGCTTATAGCATATTCAAAACTCAGAAACTGAAAGTCTGAAAAAGGAAAAAGGAGAGCTGCCAGACAGAGTGCAGCGGAGCGGGAAATGCCATTTGAGAAAGGCAGTACAAAATTAGTGACGCTGCATAAGATCCAACTACAGAGTTGCAAGTTTTTGTCTTGACTCAGGTGAAGGAAATTTGACAGTGGTTTGCTTATCTCTCTCTCTCTCTCTGTCTGTCTCTCCCTCTGGGGCAGAACAGTACAACCTTTAAAGACAGAAATTCCAACATAAAAAAACACAGAACACAACAATGAGCTTCAGTGTTGAAGATGAATGTGTGTGCACTTTTCTGTTTGCATGTGTGTGTGTGTGTGTGTGTGTAGTTGTGTGACACAGCCACAGCCGGCAATCTCTGATGGTACAGTAAGGCTATAGTGGACTAACGCCAAAGATGTAAACCCTAACAATTAACCACACTCTCACGATCTCATGCATTCTCTGCATCTCACTTCCAAACAGATACACAGACATGAACAAAAAAAACAAACAAAAAACAAGCATTTGCACACGCATTCACACACGCACGGTGAAGAGGAACAAGCACACAGAGAGATTCAGGGAATCCAGATGCACTCATGCGCTTGGACGATGGGTGGCTTTTATGTTAGCACCTTGTCACCTTATTTTTGTGCAAATCATCCCCTAGTTCATAGTTCAGAGTTCAAAAGTTCAAGAGTTCATAGAAAGAATAAAATCTGTTCACCTTTTCCACAGGTGGTTAACTATGCATATATGCCAAACATTCATATATAGATCTATATACTTTTCAAAAATTTATATGAAATCTATTATATATACATTGCTTGTGATTTAAAAAAAAGCAAATATTTAAGTTCTTCTTTTTTTTTTTTTTACAAGTGTAAGTATGTCCAGAATGGACAGATTTTTTTTCTTCTTCCCGACCACTCTTAACTTCATATAAATAAAATATCATGTTCCACACGCTACAAAATCTACCCACAGTGGCAGAAGTAAAAAAAAAAAAAAAATCAGCAACACAAGAACAAAAGGGACTTAAAACAGCAGTTTAAAGGAAAATTAAGAGTGAGGTCACAGTGAGGCAGTGAGTGCTATTCCTACAACTCCTACATGATTTTATTCACCACCTGCTTTTCAGAACGAATACAGAAAAAAAAAGGATGGACACAAGTTTTCGCCAAGTCAAAGAGCCTTGGCTGAATGCTTCTGATGAGCAGAGGTTTTCAGTGTTATTTCTTGGCATTCTGTCAGAAAAAAAAAAAACTAGAATGCCAAAATGTTTTTTTTTTTTTTTTTTGTAGTATGAATAAAACTCACTGGTTCTCACTGCCAGCAGAAGCTGCTCATGAGTACAATTGCAGATTTGTATTGTTCAAAGATTCAGGGTTTTCTTTTTGTTCTTTTTACAGCCTGGGTTTACTTTCATAGTTCTGGCTGATAATATTTTATTCACCAAGACACTGGTAAACCTAAAAGGAATACAGCTGCTCATTCAGGCTGTAAAAAAAGTTTTTTTAAGACCTTTTGTAAGCTTTCCCATCCCCACTGCCATAAGAACTATACCGCTGTCTGATATTTATGTTGATTGTTTTAAGACCTTTAAGAGTTTTTGCATCCGGGCCAAAGAAAGCATTAGAGATTGTACCAGCAGACATGTTTTTATAAAGGCATGGGCTGCTTAGGGCTATAAGAACAAAAAAGTTTTCTAAAAGTTCTGCCATATTGTCTCAACACTTATGCTTACAACACTGCTCCTCCTCCATCTGTTGCTGCCAGAAAAAGACATTTGGCCATTCCAGCATATTATTAGTTGGGAAGAACCAAAACAATCATTGTGTGTATTAAATATTTTCCTATATTTAATAAGGTGTAAATTATGTTGTTTTGCTGAAGCCTATATATCAAAATACAAGAATCAATACATGGCAGAAATAAAAAGTTTCAAGGTTCTCAAACTGGTGGCTCAGAAAAAAATGTAGGTAAAAAGGGGAACAGCAAAAAAAATTTTAAGGAACTTTCAATACATCCTCTTTGCAAATTGGAGATGAGAGTATAATTGTCAGTAAAGGTAGGTTGTGCGTGTGTAAAAAGATTTGACTGGATACAAAACTTTACAATTACAAGGGAGATCATTTCAGCTGAGTCGGCCGATGAAGAAGAGGGTTGTTTAAAAAAGTTCACCTCTGGGGGAACTTTGTGTTAAATCTCACAAGCTGAAATTTAGATTTCAGTATCTGATGAGAAAGAAAAATCTCCTTCCAGCCCATGCCTGCTATAAAATATCATGTTTGATTTGTAAATTAGTTATTTAGATCCTCAAATGAATAAAACACCATTTACTGCAGAAGGGAAAAACAAATTTCCTCCAGTTTTATGGCTCATTAGCCCTCTATGACAATGTGTCACTAAGATCTGAGACGGATACAGTAGGAATGGGTTTAAGCTTGGGGTCTTAAGCTCACATTATGGGATGCCCTTTAGTATGACGGAAGACCGTAAAACAAAATAAAAACACACAACAAACTGTCCAGGACATGATGCAACTTGTCATGCTACGCTTCAAGAAAAGGGTGACCATACAGAAAATTCTATATGTATGATAAAAAAATTATTTTTTCTGTATTTATATTTTGTTTTCTTTCAAATATATATATATATATATTTATATATGTATATATAACTGGTAGAAATGAGTAAACTATCGGTGGAATAGATTTTAAGACTTCTTTCTGTTTTCTAATCTAAAACCAAAACAGCTGCAGATTCGTTTACTACATTTTTTCTTTGCAACATTGTCTTTCCATTTGAAAGCTATATTTAGATACATATATTATATTATGCCATATAATAGTAATATATATAATATTCCCTTTGGAAAATCAGAAAATTAATTATGAAAAAAGCCACGAGTGTTGGTTAAACATTCTCCAAATATTATAGATTGCACAGTCTTGGTACCAAGGCAGAGGGGTTTTTTCCTCCTGTGGAGCTCCGCCTCTGGATTCAAAAGTCTTCGGTTTAAAAATGATAGCAGGTATTCAGAAGACACAACATTTTCAGAACTGTTAGTACTATTTCCATAGCACTGTGTTCATCGGAGTTGATTTCAGTAGAAATATTTTTGAAAAGGCAACTGAGTTTTCTGTTTGGGACGAGAATCCTTCCTCCTCCTCCTTTACTGCCAAAGGCTTCCATAGGCCTAATACGAGAGGGGAGAGAGGTAGAGAGGGTGCGGTGAGAAAGTACCGATGTTACTAAAGCAACGACTGTACTTTTCACAAATCAAATGATCTTATTGAAGCTCATGTGTTTCTCTTTAGTAAAAGAAAAAGTCCAGATATTATTTTGGGACGTTTAGTCTGATCTGTCGCAGGTGAGAAGGGAGAACCCCAAAGTGAGTAAGGGCGAAGCAAAAGAGGAGGAATGTTCATTGTATGAGTATTGCCTCCTCTCTTCATTGCATTGCCAGTTTCAGGGTGTAAATGCAGACCAGGAAATGTTATAATGAACCAGAGGTGAACATTGTAAGACTGAACAAAAGACGCTGGGAGGAGCGGGGTTCAGTTGTTTGCTTGTTTTTCTTTAACTAATTCAGTCCTCATGTCTTTTCATCTGTAGCTATTTCTCAGGGCTAGGGTCAGCTCTCTAGAAGCAGTTTAAGTGCTCTTTCGATGTTCATTCGGTGTCCAACTCGTGTCACTCCCAGCTCTGCAAAGTCCTCCTTGGTTAGAGCTGGAAGGTGAGAGCCTTCGATCTCATGTTCCTGAAAACCTGCTCTGTGCTCTCCCAAGTTGATGCTCTCGAGCCAGTCTCCGACGTCGTACTTGTTCCAAAGGTGGAGGGGCTTTTGGTGAAAAGGTCGAAGTGCTAAAAGTGGTGAACCTAATCCAGGTGAATGGGAAGGCGATGGAGAGCGAGAACGGGCACTGGAGCTCCTCATCACAAAGCGGACCTCTTTAGGCTCCTGGGGTAAGCTGAGGCTAGAGGACTTGAGAATAGTTTGTGGTGGGGTAGTTGGAGAAGCTGCCAGGCCAAAGCCTGAAAAGCGTCCCAGAGGGTCACCTCGGTCAGGTGAGCCTGAGCCTGGGCTTGGGGTGCGTCTGCTGACGGGGTAACGGCTTCCGGGGCGGATGGTATATGTGGTTCCATAGCTTCTCTGGGAAAGGGTGTGTAGCTCACCTAGGCTGCTAAAAAGTCTGTTGAAGACACAGAAGTTTAAACATTTCAATAAAACAGTTCAAAAGTTGAATAAAAGCTTCATTCATTCTCCTGTCTTACATCCTGTCTCATTGAAACAGAAAGCTTCAATGTATTTTATAGGAGTTTTATGACATTTCAGTCTGGAGTTGCACAAACTATAGCAAATTCATTGTTGATGCACAATCTTTAAATGCAAAACTTGTTTAGCACAAAAATATTTAGCAACACATGTGGGTTAATGCTGCATCAAATGTTTTTGAAGGTAAAGAGGTGGTGAGGTCAGATAAGGTCAAACTAAGTTTTTAACAGATGTTTAATTATACCTTTAAACTTGGGTTTAGCCTTTCTGGTGCACAAAGCAAACAACTGTTCTGATCCTCAAAAAATGTTCATACTGTTAAAATGAAAAAAAAAAAAAAAAATCATTTTATAAAGACATCTAAGTGCCTGATTTACTAGTATCCCAATGGAGGAGCACTAACTTGCTTGTGCAAACATAACATTGCATGAAGTAATGAATGTGTTTCAGACTAAGACTGCAAGCACAATGAATCACAAGTGCTAAAGTATTGCATACCATCCTATGTTACTTGCTGTCACCAGATTTTGGGAGAGCAGAGATGACTTGTTTTTGAGGTACCAATGGGCAGTCATAATTTACAAAAGAAGTTTACAAAAGTAAAGGTGTGGTTGCTTTGTGGAGAAGGACCATCTCTGTGCAGACAAAATAACATCTCTGTTTGTGTGAAAATGCTAAAATAATTGGATGACTAGGAGTAGTTTCTGGCATCTGGATCATTCCAACTGTTGCAAGGCCTTAAGGTGACAGTTTAAATTTCTCAAAGACATGTTACTCAGAAATGTTACTTTATCTTTCCAGACACCACAGATGCCAAACACCAATCTGTTGTTATGAATAGAGAATTTCTTTCTTTTATTTTTATTTTTTCAAACTGCCACAGCCTTTAGTTTATAAAACGAATAGGGAAAACAGCCGGTGTACAGCAGAAAAGAAATGGTTTACCAAAGCAGAGTGACAAAACAGAAGATAGAACAAATTTTATATACAACAGATTTTACCACTGATTTATACAGAAACTTCCACTTCTGTTAAAAAGAGCTCTATCATATCAATGAGTAATGCAGTTCAGGATACACAGAGATGATTCCCTCTGTCTTTTCGGTCACTATACCAATGCCTCCTCGTCACATCAACTTCAGACATTTTGTGTGTGTATGTTTTCATCTGAATTTAAAGGAAAATTCCGGTTTGTAACACTTTTAGCCCCTTTTCTGTAGTGTCCAGGATGAAATCGAATGATCGACACCAACATTTTGACGATTGGTCCTGTCTCGGCTATTTGGCTCATGCAGAATCCCCCCCTGGCTGCTTCAGAATGGCTTGCATAGTGCATGTCAGATAATGTCCTTAAAACAACCTTAAACGTTCTTTTTTTAAAATATGCTACTCACTGGGTCGTCAGCGCTGTTCAATGACGTTCCAAAAAAAGTTTCGTGAAGAAAAACTGTTCCTGTCTTGTTTTATTTAGCATTTTGTAAATCCCAGAACTATTTTTTCCGATACATCACAACCGCTTATAAACTTCCGCTTCCCGTTCGAATCTGAAGCGTTGCACACTCCAGACCACTAGTTGGCGACAATGTCTCTATATACTCCTCCTCAGTATATTCCAGTTCAAAACGGTATCCTCTACCGTCAAACTCAAAGTCCAATATGTCCTCCTCAAGAATCCACCTTTCGTATTCCATTTTCAGAGTTTTTTAAAGTGTTTAACAGAGACGTTAGCACCTCGACGTCGGAGTACACAGAGTGAAGCAGAAACACTTGGGCCTTGCGAAAAGACTACAACTAAGCGTAAACAGGCCCCCTTTCCGTTTCCGGTGGCGGAAGGATATTGACTATTCCAACAGAACTCAATGGGATTTACAAAATGCTAAATAAAACACTACAGGAACGTTTTTTCTTTACGAAACTTTTTTTGGAACGTCATTGAACAGCGCTGACGACTCGGTGAGTAGCATATTTTAAAAAAAGAACGTTTAAGGTTGTTTTAAGGACATTATCTGACATGCACTATGCAAGCCATTCTGAAGCAGCCAGGGGGGGATTCTGCATGAGCCAAATAGCCGAGACAGGACCAATCGTCAAAATTTTGGTGTCGATCATTCGATTTCATCCTGGACACTACAGAAAAGGGGCTAAAAGTGTTAAAAACCGGAATTTTCCTTTAAGATGACTAAAACTACACAGAAACCTCATCTTGCAATCAGGTTCAGGTTTGAAAACTTCCATTGTGGGTTGTAAGGAGAAATATTTTGTTTGCTGGTGAAGAATTTCAGTCATCCAGGTCATAGTAATTCCAAAAAAGGTTAAAAACAAAACCACTAGACTTTTCCTCCCCAAGTTTGAAGATGTTTTGCTTCCATCCAGGAAGTTTTCTCAATTCAATTTTTTTTTTTTTAACTTTTTTGAATGTAATATTTGTATGGTAATTTCCCAGTATTTTGCATGTTCTGATGATCAGCATATGTTCTGCATATTTATTCCAAAAATGCGTTCTGCATATTCACACATGGAAACACAATAAATGGTTTTCTTCAGCTAATTTTAGAGATACAATTGTATTTTCAACTAGTTAGTAAATCAATTTTTCAAATCCTATCAAGTTCGCATATTTTTATACAAGCAAAGCTTCAGTAGATCAAGCACCATGTGTTCAAAATACTGCAATTAGAGGAAAGCATATTTTGTTAGAAAAACAGGGTTGTTTATGCCAGACCTGAAGCTTAGGCCTGAAATGACAACCAACCCAGCCTCACCAATAGAAAAGTATTAAAAACCTATTATGCATCTTTAGAGGATGTCCTTAGCCCAACAAGAGGCATGAAACAACAATGTACCTCAACAATGAGTAAAAAAATAGACAAAGAAAAAATAAAAACACTGAGATTAGTCATTTCTTCACTACTAGTCAATGGAAGGAGGGGAGGATGATCAGATGGATAATGAATGATGTTAAAAGCTAAAACTAAGAAGGTTTGTCCAAGTGAAAGCAGGCAGAAGCATGGAGAATACACCTACATTTCATTCATGCATTTTTACCAGAGAATCCCTCTACTGCATATGTTTGGAGCTTTACTATTAGTGACTTTTACACTACGAAATGTAATGGAGCACAAGTCGCTCAGGCTGGAAAAAAAATGATCATATTACAGGGAGCCAACAGGCTGGGATGAGCTCCATGCGCACTTACACAGTCGTCCTGCCCTCCTGGAAGCACAGTCAGTTCTAGACCAATCAGATCAGAGCAGCAGGGCGTGGCATGCAAGGTGAGCAGAGAGAGAGCAATGGGAGAGAATGTTAGCATCACTCCATGAGACGCAGCCTGCTAACCAGACTCAATATATGCTTTAGCCAACTCTGCTGCCTTCAAAACCTTTGGCGTATCGGAGAAAACGTGTGCTTGTTCTGACTCAAGAACAATATATATATATATATATATATATATATATATATATATATATATATATATATATATATATGCGTGTGTGTGTTGCTAAAATGTTTGCATGACTGAGGCAGCAGAGCAGGTTTTAGCACTGCAAGTCTGACCAGTGGGCTACATGACAGAGAAATGAGCACACTGTTCACATGTACAACACTGCACAAACAAAAAACACACAAATGAAAAAAATAAAAGAAGCCATATTTCTCCTGTCTGTTATGATTGTGCGCACATACAAGGAAAGTTGAGACTTTTGTATGTTCTGCTCTGCTATTATGTGTTTCCCTGAAGAAATAGAAGATTCGTCCGATATATACATGGACAGTCACAGACCATCGACATTTTCAACACAAAAACTGAAAAAAAAAAAAAAAGTTATGAACTTTTACATAAACAACCAAAAAAAGAAAACGAAAAACCAAAGATCACAAACTGAAAAAAACCCAAACAAAACAGCAAAACTCTAAGACAAAACATTGTGGTGTGTGGAAGGATTTGAACGGGTACAAGATGGTAGAGCATTAACATTAAAAATGCTGGGATGTCTATGGTGTATGAGAAGTCCTCCAGCAGGTGGAAAGAATTAAATGCAAATGCAGAGTGATAGAGAAAGAGGAATAATGGTGTGCATGATCATTTTATCACAGCCAAAGGCAATTAACTGTCAGGATGAAAATGGTGGGAAGATGAGAGAAATCTGAACTAAATGTTATATGATATGTTGCATTTGAAAGCATAGTCTTCTTTATCGTCACCAAAATTCAAAAACTCATGTTTGGTTTTGCTTGCTTTAAGGTTTACCTGCTTTTTATTTAATTAGCCACAACAGTAGAAGGATGTCAGATCATGCAAGTAGGACTACTCATCCATTAAATATTCTAGTAAGCGATGTTGCTTTACCTCTTAAAAGATGCCAAAGACTGCACCCTACAAAAAAAAAAAATCATCCACACTATTGATGCAGACAGATAAAATAAAGAAAATCCTTGGTTTTCCAAAAGTGAGGTGACAAAAGAAAAAAAAAAAGATAATAGCCATATTTGCCTAACAAAACAATACCCATCAAGTGTCTTAATACAGCTAGAATTGTACTTCATTTTGGTAAAATATCTGTAATTTGTATGAAAAAGTGAAATACATAAGTTAATACATTGACACATTTCAGAATTTGCTTCTATTAATTTTGATTAGTATCCCTTATATCTAATGAAAACTTGAACTTACTCAAAGGCGCTGTCACACCTTGAGAATTTAGCCAGCCTATGCCGACATCCCAGAATCCTCTAAAAAGCTGGCATACACTGAACTTTCTATGTATTTTTTTCAATTTTGGGCATATACATATAGTATTCATAAAGGGCCCAGAACTTATTTCCAACAACAGCCTAACTTATGCATAATGCATGATAGCGTAATGCCCATGAAATGTCACAAACCGGTGTCATAAGGGGGGCTGCAATGCACCCAGAGGTGCATTGGCCAAAAAAAAGAAAAGGGAAAAGAAAGAAGGTTTGAAGTCACAGCAGATTCAGCGTCATGTCTGCTAAGAAGTTAATTGGTCGTGGCCGTGGACGCAGGGAGCATCCATAACACTCACCTTCACGCTCACCCTGTGTTGTGGATTATACAGGTTGGATAAGCTAGACACCACGACTTATGAGTAACTTACAATTAACGTATGTCAACAATCACATAACTTACCTGTAACTTATGGCCCACATATAAGCATACGCTCGCATACGTCAGGATATTTTGAGCTCATAATTTCTTGACGTACTCGCCGTGTGTCGATGTGTTTCAGTGTGGTTCAGCTAGCTCATTACTTATACAAAAGGTACGCATAACTTATCCAACTTACACCAGCAGTTTTGCCAAATTGTTGTTGTCGGCATACGCTGGGTAAATTGTTAAGGTTTGACAGTGCCTTTACAGAGTAATTGCGTACTTTGTACAATGACAATAAAAGGAATTCAATTTAATATATATTATTACTTGGTCAGCAGCCCTTTTTGCTTGTTGTATTACATCAATACTGTATGTAGTATGGAAGCAAAAAGTCTCTGATTTGAACAGCAGCCTTTAATTCATCTGCATTGTTAAGACTATCTTCCTTTTTAAATTCCTTGATGGACTCTTCCTTGAATTTTAGGTGAGTCTGCTGGTTATTAGAACTCAGTTATACCACGGTCATTAAAACCAGTATTGAAGCTTTTGGCAGTATGGTCGGGTGCCCACATCATTTCTGTTAAGCCTGTCAGCAGACAAAATTTCCTCTCAGACCACTTCTCTGTGATTTTGTATGTCCCATCATTCTTTTCATAAAAATTCAGTATTACAAACATTTTTTTTCATGGCTCTAAAAAAAGAAGTGAACACTTTGACTGTATTATAAATCTGTATAATATGAATTTCACCTTTTGAATTAAATTATGGAAATAAACTTTTCAATGATAGTCGACCTATCATAGCACAGTCTGGGGTTACACATTACTAAGCAGAGGTTTTTCATGTTGTGTTTAGTCAGTGTACAGTACCAATAATTAAGGTCTGAAACCATACATCCACCCATTTTCCATCCATAATGCCTATTTATCTGTGGAACTTGCGGTAACAGGGACGAGTGGTGGGGCCTATACAGTGGTCAGGGGTCAAAAACTTAATTTTCGTTAGTTATAAGAGCAGCACAATGCTGAAAACGCCTAACTACAAATCTGAGATGAAAATGAGATCCACGACATTACAAGGAAACTGAAGGAGTAAGTAATACTACTCTACAGCTTAAACTAAAACTAGTCATTAAATCCAAAACGTAAATCCTTTTTGAAACATTGAATCTGAGCTTTTAATCCAAATAATGCAAGGTGTTATAAAGCAAAAGCAAACCTCATATGGAGAAAAAAATACATCTCCCACCATTTATTTGACAGTTATTTTCAACTGACTCTTTATAATGTTAGTGTTAGTGTAAGCGATTAACATGAAAACTAAGATATAACAGAGAACTAACACACCATCATATTTCAGTCCTGTTCAAATACTTTCTAAAAATACATCCCCAAATCTTTAAAGTCATCACTTTTGATACAATGGAGGTGTTGGTGATAAGAGGAAAAAGGTAACTTTAGTTCTTATCAAGCTTGCATCAGTGATGTCTGCAAAGGATGACGGATAAAAGGATGTATTGTATAACATTTGAACAGACTTTGGAAAAGGTAGGAAGGGAAAATACTAACAGGGTCATAGGTTAGAAATAAAACATGGCAGTGTGGGCAGTGTGAAACAAGTAAGGAAATTCTTTTATAAAGTGCATGCCTTTAATCCTGTTACCTTGTTTGCAAAAGTAGTAATCTCAGTTTACAAGCACATACAAGTATGTATGCCTCTGTTACTGTCTTCAATTAATAATTAGCAGATTTAATTTTAAAAAAGCGGGAGGGGTGGGGGGAGTATTGAAACTGTTCTAGCCAAAACAAGGCTTCTAACACTTCTAAGCTAAAATAAGAATAATAGAATCACTTTTCATCCGCTTACTTATATTTAGTTAGTCATTTTGTTTCATGACCCGATGACATGAAACAATTGTTTTTAAGTGACTAAATACAATTAAGCAGATTGCAGAAACGGTTGTATTATTTTTTTCAGACGATATTTAGTAGAATCAAATTATCAGTGTTGTAAAACTATTTTGCGGACAAGGCAACAGGGTTTTAAGGGAAACAGATAAATGCTTTCTAGGTGTTATTGTGTTTAGTTTACAGGGTTATTGTGTAAGGCATATAAAGAGAAATATATATTTGGTTTACCCTAGATTCTATAGCTTTAAGGTTTAGTTTCTTCTGTGTCCTCACACCTGCAGAAATATAGAGGATTTTCATTGAACCTTTACATATGCTGTGGAAAAAATACCCATAGAAAACAGGCTGCAACCCCTGCCCCTCAGATGTCAAAGAAAATCATTCAGAAGCTCTGTGCAACACATTTTCTTTCCCTCATTACGAAGCTGAAACAGATCTTATAGCTAAAGGCAACTGCTTGAGACTTTTAATCTAGAGATGAACTGAAAATCTGCTTGTGACCAAAAAAGGATGGTTTTCAGTTTGATCGGCTATGAACAAAAGCAGGCCAACTCTATTTTTTGTCATTAGTGGATGGACCAAAAAGAGCTCTACCATGTAGTCAGTGTGGTATGGTAGTATCGACCAAGAAGTTCTTTCAATCCAACCTTAAATGTACAGCACCATGTGCCTGTGCATGTATGGACTGTATCACCCTGTGAGAATTAAAAGACCCGGTTGGCAGGGAAGATATCTTGTACCTAATCCTGTGAGTGCACATGGAGAAGACAGGTCACTACTGTTGTTTATACTAACCATAAAATTATCAATACTGAAGCCGTGACTTTTGTCTGAGCTAGTAGACAAGGTATTAGTCATCACACTAGGTTTACCATCAAAGTTGTAAAAGGGGAAATCTTCCTCTCATTTGTACTTCATTTATTATTATTAACTGTATAAAATTCGACAACTGGGTGTGCTTCGGTGGCATAGTGGTTAGCGCGCACGATCCATGTACGGAGGCCTTAAGGCTGATTTATACTCTAAACCAGGTCCTTTGCGTAGGTGTCACGGTGAACAAAAAGCTGTCCCCGCCCCCTCTGTAGACACTCCGCTGCACCTCTTCCAAATTGTAACTGACCGCAGACAGTGCCGTAGACAGAAAACAACTCGTGAAGTTTGACCAGCTAGAAGATCGAGGTGCGCAACAACGCTGGGACCCATTTTCCACCTGGATCCCCGCTCTTTTTCGCCGTCATGTCACTCCGTTGTCGGACAAACTCGCCCCCACTTCGTCATTGCCTCGGCCTTATCTAGACCCACAGCGTAAAGCGCAGACCACGCTTCAATATTGAGCATAAATCAAAAATGTCTGCATCAAGCTAACTGCGACACACTGCTGCTGGATTATAACCAGCCCTTTACTCCTCAACGTGGCCAACCCGGGTTCGGATCTAACCTGTGGTCCTTTGCCACATGTTTTTTTTTTCCTCTCTTGCACCCCATTTCATGTCAGTCCATTGTCGAAAAAACAAGATACTAGTGCGGTAAAACCCTCAAAAAACAAAACGGATAAAAAACTACAATAAAAAACTACAAATTAACAATGCACCTGTGTGGTGTCCTGTCTTATCCATTACAGCAGGGTCACATATATATATAGGCATGTCTGGTCACTATAGAATACATTTTTCCACTGGCCAACAGTCAATTGGCAGTATGCTTGTCACTTGAACATTCAAGGCTTTGTATTGCAAGTGGTGAATCAAGGCTTGGCAGGAGCCTTGTTAACCTCGGCAATGACTTTAATAAGATACTTAAAGACATTTTAGATGTTCAACCTATAGTATTTTTTTTTTGCCATAAGATGTAAACACAAAAATCCAATTGCAGCTGATCTCTTGTACTTGTCATGACCTGTTCTCTACTCCTAATGTTAATAAGTATTGATGCTTTCGCAAAAAAGACTTGAAAATATATTTTAAACTTTGTTCTTATGTAAACTGTTCTTAATTTGTAGTTCTGAAAGATAAATTTGCATCAGCGTGTCCAAGCTTTACAAAACTGAATATCGTAAGTTGGCCACACAAGCTTTATCAGTACATCTCTACATATCAGCAGCTTTCACAACAATGCCTAAGGTATGTATTCTCTGAAACCTATAATGAAAAAGCACAAAAATAGAGCAAAAATTAACAAAAGAGAATCAAGCATTTAATCAAAATCAAGTGTTAAAAAATCTTCAACACAATAAGGATTAAATTATTTACCTGCTTCAGTATATAATTATCCCCTCTAGAGCTTAATATTTTTTGTAAACTCTGCTATGATGAGTGTGGCATATGAATAAACTATTTTGCCTGCATCTGTCACTCAGGGCTAAAGAAAGTTCTGTGGTTATTTTACTTTTTTGCTAGATATTCTCTTACCTTGCACCTGCCACAGGTGACTTCCTCCCAGGGTCAAGGGACGCTCCAAGCGGCTCCTCACCCAGTGACCTAGTGTCTTTACTTAACTGTTGTAGACGTGAACTGAGCTCTCCCATAACTGTTGGCTTAGCACCCTCATCTGAGCCTAGCCCAAGTCCTAACCCACCAAGATTTCCCAAACTACCAATACCTAGCCCTATCCCTGGTCCTCGGGTGTCTACAAGATCTCCCCACAACTTGGACCTCCTTTGGAAGAGATAGCGTGGCTTGGTGGGAGCTAGACCAGTCACTGAGGCAGAACCCCCTGCAGGAAGCCCAGCCCCACCAGCTGCTGCAGCAGCCAATGCAGCAGCCTGTTGCTGGGAAAGCAGCTCACTGTCAGAGCTCTGCTTCAGCAAAGGGTCCCTGAAGGTGACAGGGCCTTTAGCCCCTCCTATTTGGGACTTGAGTCGAGGCTTAGGAGGCACTGGCGGTTTGTCAAGAACAAAAGTCTGCCCGTCAGCATAGGAGGTGTGCGTAGTGTGTGTGTCAGCAGGCTCGCCACTTTCTGAGGACAATGTAGACATGCTGGAAACTGTGGAGACGGTGCTGGTGGTCTCAAGATGATGGTCTCTCTCTCTGTCACTAGAGCTGCGTGTGTCAGCCTCCTCCACACCTGAGTCAGCTGCAGAACCAGCCTCGCCCACTGGTGGGGGCTCCAGAGGGTCAGTAGTTTTCCCTGAGACAGCTGCTGCACTGGGTGGAGGTGGTGGCTGGGGAGGCTGAGGCTGGGTGGTTGTCACAGTTGGAGTTGTTGGGGTTGAGGGTGTTTGGGGTATTAGTGCTGCTGGTAGGACAGGAGATGGGGGAGGTTTAGCAGGTGATACAACTGTCCCCTGTGCCTGAGCCAGCAATCCATTTGAAAACTCATCTGGAGGAGGAACCACCCCAATCTTACGTAGCTCCTCCCTTGTTTCCTCATCACTAGAAGATAACATAGCAGGTGGTAAAGTGACGGTGTAAGCATCTACATCCTCTTCAGAGCTTCCCTGAGCCAAGCTCTTCTCTTGAGCGGGACTGGCAGGACGTTGAGTTTGAGGCTGAACCTGGAGCTGAGTTTGGGCCTGGGGCACAGTGGGAGTGGGGGATTTAGCCCGGGCAATCTGTGATTTGCTGGGCTCTGTGGTTGTAAGCACAGGGGTCTGCTCAATCCCTGACCCCACACCAACAGCCTGACCATTACTGGTTGCATGAACCATGATCAGCCCTGCTGTCTTCTGCTGTGATGTATCCATAATACTGATCAACATACTTTTCTTATCCTCTAGTCTCTTTTCCTCCTTTCTCTCCTCAATTCTAGCTTCCATCTCTTGACGGAATGATATAGGTGATGATGATGTAGACCACTGGGATTTGGTGGGTTGAGGAGCTAAAATATTAGCTGGGGAGGATGACGCACCATACCCTGCTGCCTTGGCGCTTTTGGGTGAAAAAGGGGGAGATGCAGCTGCCACATCCCCATGTGGAGACTCTTTGGTCTGAGTGTCAGAGAACATTACCATCTGGCCTATGCGTTCTTGTTTAGTCCTTGGCTCTGGGCTTCCAGTTGGGGACTGACTCTGAGAGGTTAGTGCCCTCTCCCTTGCGGCCAGCGCAAGAGCCAGTGGTGAATTTGGGTCCAGAGGCTTTCCTGTAAGTGGATGGATAAAGGTGGTCCCACTTGGTGAGGGGCTCAGAGCCAAGGCAGGGGGAGGAAGCTGTCCCAGCTCTCGGGATAACAGCCGTTCGTCAATTGAGTGAGACTGAGTCAAAGAGGGGGCATCAGGGCTTGTTGTGGGGGACCCCTCCATGGTCCCAACAGAAAGGAAGACAGTGGATTTCCTCCGTTCTTCTAGTCGACGCTCACGATCTTTTACTGCTCCAGCAATTGCAGCAGCAAAGGGGCCTTTACCCTGAAATATCATCTCTCCTTGGGCTCGCAATCGGTCTCGTTCGGCCATCAGCTGCTGCTGGTAGTAGTCAACACGGCTGGTGTGGGTGTGCCCACGTGGGTGTCGTCCTGAGGGTGAGCTCTCTCGTGAATGGGCAGCAGCTAAGGCCAAACTAGCCTTTTCTTGTGCATCTTCTACCTGCAGTGGAATTATAAACAAAAGCAAGCTAAGTCATCCATTAGTGTTTCAGAAAAACAAAAAAAAAAACAACAAAAAAAACAGGCTTTAATTACAACCAACCTGTAGCTGTTTCACCAAAGGACTTTTCTTTCTTTGGGGCTTTGTGGGTGTGAACAATCCAATGCTAAACTGACCCACATTTGCGTAAGGGTTGTCAATTACCCTTCCCTTTCTTTTGATTCGTTCTGGTGGTGTAGCAGCAGAGGGACGGGGAATTTCTGTAGGTTCGACAGGTAGATGGGAGGAGTCCTGCAGGATGATCATTGAGCGAGCTTTCTTTTGTCTTTCGAGGTGTGTGGCTTGCCGCTGAGCAGCTTCATAAGGCAGGTCCAAAGAGGATGGCTTGAAGCTGGAACGGCCTCCGGGCTCATGGCCTTGACTCTGAGTCCTGGATGGGGGTGGAGGAGGGCAAAAAGCTGGAGGAGGACCAGTGTCAAAGTAGTAAGGGGGAGGAGGTGGTGCCGTCTGAGGAGGTGGGGGAATAGGATGGGGCTGTGAGTGTTCTCTGAGACTGTCTGTCATAGAGGAACTGCGTGGAAATCTGTGTTCGCCTACAAGTGCAGACAGCCTATCCTCTTCTGTTGCACCTGGAGCCGGAGGAAAAAGGACGAGGCATTTAGTAACAAGAAATGGATCCTTTTAATAAATATACTAGAGCCACCATAGACATCCTATACTTAGGCACCAAAGTTAGAAAACAATTAACTGGACTTTGTTTCCAAGTTTGAAGACTTTTAGCTTCCCATCCAGGAAGCTTCCTCAATTCAAAATGTCTGAACCAGCGTTGAGTTTGAGGCTTTATAGAGTGGACCAAAAACGAAGCCTTATTTTAGCTTAGAAAACATGCAAATTGAACCGGGCGAATACCTGATACCTGTCTATGTCTCTGAAAAGGGGGTCATTAAAGGGAATTGCTGTCCTGGCTAAACAGGCGAGGTGTTCTGTTCCCCTGTAAGGGGATGGGGGTTGCAATGATAGTGGGAAGGAATCAACTTAATCACTCAATTGTAGGTTTTTGAAAGCTGAAATCTATTTGAGGTTGGTTTTTCTTTTCTAACATTGATGGTTTCCTTCATGCACCTCTCAAACCAGCTATCTTTTTTGTCCAAACTGCTAACATTCTGGTCCCATTCTTGACAAAGGACATTCTTTTGAGGACCAAAATGTTCAATTAGCATGTTTGCATTTTTTTTTCTGTCCACACTATAAAGCCTCGACCTTAACGCTATTTCTGACATTGTGAATTGAGGAAGCTTCCTGGATGGGAAGCAAAACGTCTTCAAATTTGGAAAAAAAGTCCTGCGGATTGTTTTTAAGCTTTTTTGGAATAATATATCATTATATATAATCACATACTTATTCTTTTATAATGCTTCAAAATTGTAAATATGCACATCTTTATCTAAAAACAACAGTCTGTACTGTATGGAAGCTAAAAACGTTGAACAAGAATGGGCTTGCACAGCTTTTTCCTAGTGTTGCCACTCTGCAGCTTTAGTGTGTGTAGCTTGCCAACATGGTGCAGTCTTAGTTTATATAAGGCAGACACAACAAGTAAAATCAGCCCAAAATGGTGATTTTCAATCCCAAAATGAGTTTCTTGAATGTACCCCCAAAGACGAAACACATCTTCAGAAGCAATCTGGGCCTGGACATACTGACAGATGAATTCTACATTGTCAGTGTGTCCTGACATTGTCTGGCGAACAAAATGCTCAGCTGATCTCACTACTTTTACCGTGCCCTTAAAAGATATCATCAGCCCCCCGTTGTTTTTCAGCAGATGTGGCTTGTTCCGTTGACATGCAAACCTGTGCCCAACGAGGCGTCTACGTATATGATGTCTGTATGTTTATTAATAATCAAAAAATGAAATCTGGCATCTAGCTGGAAATCCGCTTGCCTTGTAAAACTTTTAAAAATCACAGATAAAGCTTAAGTTATTGATTGGAATAATAGTAACTAATTGTAAACTAAGTAAGTTTTCAAAATATTTCTAAAGGAAGTATACAGACCCTACAACACATAATTTCCAGAAAGAAACTCCTTCTCCAAGCAGATAATTGAGCCAGAACTGTTCAAAAGATTAGATTTTGCATGTAAGGTCGAAAACCTTATGCTTTATCCATAACACCTGAGGGCGCGCAGTTTTAGCTTCAGTTGGTTTAAATAATAAAAAAAAAAAGTATGATTTTTTTAACTGTTTTTTAAATCGGTTTATCAAAAACATGATTTAACAGATAATTTTTACATAAATGTATAGAAAAAATAAAGTGGGCTTATCATTATATCGTCCGTACCAAAAAAATATATTGTTTTATTCACTCAATCAGGGTTGATTATTTTACCAAAAGACTTGGTCCTGGACATGCCTCTAGTGAGTGGAATATGACCTCTCTCGATCCCCGGGTGCAGACCTCCATGTAGTGTCATCCCTTGTCTCTCAAACAGGGACTGCAGCATAAAATTCAGAACACAGAATGTGGAATTAAAGACACTCAAAGATCTGATGTAAAATTCCAAACTATATTAGCAAAACTAAAAATTTTACTATAATAGAAATTTGCAGTGAATGTTTGCACTAGTGCATGCTATGATAGCTTGGGTAAAGCTACTTTCTTTACTTTGCTTCAAAAGATACAGATGTTCCTTTAAACAAATGATGTGGTGAACAATCTTTATTTTGCCTTTCTGTTAGTCGTCTTAAGTTTTTCAGAGAACTTCACTAGAAGGTTCTTTAATACTTCTTAGTGGAAAAAACATTTATGAGATGTTTTGACTTTGGCCTGAAGAAATCACAAAACAGCGTATAAATCAGAAGTCATTTACAGTTGTGGACACATTTATCGTTGAATGAATGAGAAAACTTCAATCTGAAAAAACTTTTAAAAAAAGCATGACAGACATTGCTTTTCAATCATGTTTCAACAGAATGAGTTTAAAAAAAAATTTATGAAACAGGCCTGAACAAAAATGAAAATGATGTGACCCAATGGACATGTCAAGTCAAGGTATTAGCATCACAGGTCTCTACAATCTTGCAATCAGTCAGTGGGCCTATATATAGGGCTACAGGTAGTCACTGTGCTGTTTGGTGATATGGTGTGTATCACACTCAACATGGACCAAAGGAAGTGAAGGAGTTTACTGTGAAGGAGAGAGTCGTCTAAGGAGAATAAAAAGAAAATTAAAATCAAGCATGTTTTAAAACAGTAGTTATGAAACCACCTCCAAGCACCCCCTGAGACTTTAGCCAATCACCTTGATTGTGGTTGTAAAAGGATCTTTCATGACAAATCTAAACAACCAATAATAAAGAAGACAAAAAGGAACCCAGAAACATTTTTAAAAGATTAATGGTGAACTTCAAGCTCAAAGAACCTCAGTGTGAGATCGCATCATCTGTTGTTGCTTGGTCCAAAGTGGATTGATTGAGAGACGACCAAGGTAGCCTGGTAGAAAGCTGGACAGTTGCACAGAACAAATGACTGCGGTAACTTCTGGAGTTGCAGGTTAATTTAGCCCATACCCAGAAAATTTCAACCTAATCCCTCTCAGGTTTTGTGAAATAGGGCCCAGGAAATCCTTACTTACTGCTGAAACATTTCTGTTTTCAACTACAACAAGACTGCCAGTTTATTGCTTTCTCCTGCTCTTCAAACTCCTCTACCCTCCTGGCTATGGAAGCATGCCCTGATCCAAATGTACATTCCCTGGTTCAAGCTTCCTTACTTCAGCTCCACCCCTCTCTCCACCACACCAACCCATCCTCCTTGGCTGCAGCCAGCCAGAATGAAGCTCCTTAAGCCGATCTTCCAGCCAGAGGCAGAGAGCCCACCCTCTCTTGTCTCCTCGAGCTTCAGCAATAATTACCTGTCTCCATCGCCAAATGACCACTCGGTTACCTGTGACACTGGCGATGGGATTGTATCATGCGAAGGAGGGCATACAGCCAACATGATTGAACACCACCAAACTCAGAAAGAGTTTCATTTATGACCCGCCGCACTGGTGTTATGTTAAGGTAGGATCCCCGAGGGAATTTGTTCCTCCATGTAATTCGCAGCACACATTCTGCAGGGAGATCCGAGCCTTTTTAATACTTCCTTCCTCTTACCCTATGTCTTAATACATGGTTAATAGGATAATAAAACTGCCAAAAATGACAGCAGTATCTGCAGCATAAGAAACTGGATAGATGCAAATTTTTTTAATAAGGTTTTAAACAAATAAAGATACATGTGAAAGTGAGATTGTAAAATAATTCATATGATCTGTATTATAGTCATAGGTTTGATTTTTATATACTGGTTGAAAATAGCTCCATCATTATTTATAGTACAGTTTACACCATTTTCACAAGTTAGATATTCAAGGATTTAGATTCAGTAGAGAAGTTCAGACTATTTCATACAGACAGAACTTGGTTAGCTAACTCAATAATAACAATATAAGATTTTATGATACTCAAAGAACTGAGTGGAGAATCGATAGCAACTGGAATTGAAAGATGGAATTGGAACCATAATCATTCAAACAGAAACAATGCTGAACCCTAATTATAACAAATGTTAATTTATTATTATAATTTATAACTAATTAATATCATCATCTAGAACTTAATTTTTTTTATTACAATCATCTTTGTTCTCAAAATCCCCAGTAGCTCACACAATTTCCCAATTTAAATAGGATGGCCGAAGATCACCCAAAAAAACTGCATGTGCAGTTTTTCTTTCTTTTTTTTTTAGCACAAGCAATTTAGCATTCCTTAATCGGAATCTTTAAATATAAGAAGAAACTGGGCACAAAATTGTCTCCCTGAGAGAGTTCCAAGGTCTGGTGGCTATTGACCCAGAAGATCAGTTTCATAGACAAAGATTATGTCCAAGACTTTGGGAATAATATCCCGTTGACTATTACCATAAAAGTAAAATGTTATGGAAGATCTATTTTAGGTTATGTCTGACCTAGAACAGGATTTCAGAAGTAAACCATCAACTGAGTGTCAAACTGGGAGGTAGTATTATTCTGCAGAGCTGCTTTGCCTCCTCAAGACCTATACTGTTATGATTCTCCCCTTTCGGACTTTGATTTTTTAGTTATCTATGTCATTCTGTTTTATTGATCTTTGGTTTATTTTCCATTATGTGTTATATTTAAACTGTGTTGCATTTTTTTGTTACTCTCTGTTGCCCCCTTGTGCCTGTCTCTTTTTCCCTAGCTCCCTTCTAGGTACTTCTATCCACACCTGCTCCATGTCAGCCAATTTGTTCTTTGTTTTGTTCCCCATACATACACCACCTCTACAGTTCCTCATTCCTGGTTTCTTTTGGCTTACTTGGCTCCCCATGTATGTTTTCCTTGTCATCTCCTGTTTTTTTTGGTTTTGCTATGTTTTGTATTTGGACTTAGCCTCTGTTACCTTTTGTTCCACATTAAATCAGAAAAACTAATATCTGCCTCCTTCGGTCTCTGCATTTGGGTCCTCAACAAACATCCACCTAACTTTGACATGGACGACTTGCTATATTTAACCTAATCATGGATTTTGTTCTCTGCGGAGAACAAAATGGTTGGTTGTGGAGCAAGACAATGATCAGAAGCACAACAGCAAATATTAAATGAATAAAAAACAAAAAAACAATCAAAACAAAAAAAGTTTTGAAGTGTCTGAATACAACAATTTCTGTCTGTCTGTCTGTCTGTCTGTCTGTCTGTCTGTCTGTCTGTCTGTCTGTCTGTCTGTCTGTCTGTCTGTCTATCTATCTATCTATCTATACGGTATATGGACAGAGAGATTACTTCTGTTAGTTAAAAGGATACCAAGGTATTAAGATCATCTCAGAAGTTTTACATTTTCAAACAATGTATAAAAATCCCAGCTTTTACATGTAGAACAGCATGGTACAAATAGCTGTCTGGATGTGTGCTGTGTGTAGGTGCACTCACACTGATCTCTGCTGGTGTTATTCTCCTGCTGGTAGGCCGTTGTTTGACAGTGGCTGCTCTGTAATCTGCCTCCGGGGGCTGAGAATGCAACATAGACTCCTGCGATGCCAACATCTCATCTAGTCTTTCTGTTAAAAAGGAAATGAGCCAGAACTAAATGCTAAGATTTAAGACCAAGGAAATGTTTTATTCTAATTTCCACCATGGATGTCAATAAATGACAACGAAAAGACAAATCTTAAACAAAGCTACATACATAAAATTTTGATTGGGAATTGGGTTTATAACTCATTCATGCTATTTCTCTTTCTTAGGACTGGGAGAAGAAATAAAGATAAAGTGGGAAATCAAGTATAGCACTGTTTTAGCATTCTATTGTCTAAATCTCTGAAAGTTCGTGCATAAATGGTTCCCTGGGTGAGCCTTCTTTCTATAGCCCCCACCCTCAAAACGCATGCATTTACTGAACATTTAGAAAAGGGTGGGGCATGTTAAAATGTAATGCAATCCCCCAAAAAGCACATTCTCAGCTGCAAACAGGAGAAGCCTACTGGACTACACAAGCACAACAGTAACAGAAAACACAATTGATAAATATATTCTGATGCTTGTGTGCCTCCCACTTATAAGTCTGTTCTGGGCAACTGCTCAAAGGATCAATTTCAAAAATCCCCTCTGGCCCTCATCAACGCTGCTTTAATGACACAGCAGTGATAAGTCATGAATATGTTGCTCAGAGAAGAGTCAGATTCTTGCCTCAGACTCACCTCCTCGTCTTCTCCGAGCAGAAGCTTGGCGAGAAAAAGATAGCATCAGCAGAGGAGGGAAAATGACAAGAAAAAGCCAACACAAGTGACTATTTAAAAGGTTAGGAGATACACCATATTTTAATGAAGAAGCCAAGGAGGAAATATGAAAGGAAAGAAGGAAGAGAGTGTTGAGTTTGCTTGTCAGTTCTTTGGCACTCACCCAGTTCCTCCAGCTCGGCAGTCATGGACTTAGAGCGCAGAGTCAGGGTGGTGCTGGGAGCTCTCTTAGGTGGCGGGGGAGCTGAGGAGACAAGGCATGGAGTTGAGGAGGATGTTGATGGGGATGAAAATCCTTTGGCTTTGCGACTCAGTGCCCTCTTTGCATCCCCCAGTCGGCCAGCCCATCCGGTTTTTACTGCTTTGATATGGGTGAAATCAAGGGAACTGGAGGCTTCGCTCTTGCTCGGGTTGCGGCTTAAGCTCAACTTCTTCATGTTTCCCTCTTTGGCTTATTAATTTGTCTTTCTTCCAAACTTTCAGGTTTGTAATCTTTGTGCTGCCAGAATGTCCCTCTGTTGAGGATTCCATTGGCAGTAAATGAACAAGTCACTCTTCTGTGATCTTTGAATCATTCCATTAAACGCAGAACAACATAATTTGTCTGCTACAATAGGGGGCATATGTGCAGTGTGTGTGTAAAGAAGGGAGAGCAACTCATCCATCTTTTCTGTAATATGCTGCCTGCTTTAAATTTAGCAGATGTGCCTCAGATAGAGACACATTAGCACTTTAGTTTACATTCACATGCATAACCCCGCACAAAGAAAACTCCTTGAGGGTAAACATAATGACATGAAGGACGACAGACAAAGAGATGACAGCAGATTTAACAGCTAGGGAGAAGGATGTGCTGCAGACCTTGCATTACTAGAGCTCCTGGGAACGTTCCCAGCCTACTACACACACACACAATGCAACTGAACTGTTAACATCCAATGCAAGGCAGTATATCATATCTCCCAAATAATGGCTTAAAAACCAAACCGCAAAGTTACAAGCTTTGAAATAAATGTAATCAAATATTTTCAAAAACTAAACTGAAAATACTGCAGACAAATTAGCAGTAACATCAAATTATCTTGCAGAGCACAGGTAAAACCACAGTCCAGTAGCAATCTGATCATGATAAAATCTAAAACAAAACCAATACTGCCCAACAGAACTCCATCAGCTTGTCCTAAGATCATCCGGCTAATACTGAATGCACCACTTTAGATCCATAACTCCCTAGATCACAGACAAGCCCTTATGCAGCAGCTGCAGATCTACTGTACATACGCCATCCCGGGTACTGTCCACATAGAAATATCTTCATTTCCTCAGCAGCCTGCACACTCTGCTACAGAAGCAGAGAGCGGAGCAGATAGAGGAGGATGGAGAAAGAGAGACTCAGATTGAGAGAGGGTGTTGCAGTTGCTGTAATGTAATGCTTAATTCAAACATGCATTGTAGTCACCATGGCAACGGTGGCAGTAGTGAGGCCACGCATGGTGCAAAGAATTTGTATTTGTTTTGTTTTTTTTGCTAAGATGAAGTGTAATAAGCTGAGTTTGTCCAACCGAAGTAGGTGAGGGGCTGCAGATGAAGTTAGCTCAGCTTAGGATTCCAAAAAGAACAACAAAAAGGTTGAATAAAGCTTAGACAGAAGACCTCTCAGTTTTGTTTTGTTTTTTTCTCCAACTTGTGAAGCACCTAACAAAACTTTAATTAACATTTGGCAAAAAACAAAAAAAAACATGTGGATTACAGGACAAAGGAAGAGAAAATCTGCATTGAACCTGTATGTTCATTGCAACCCCACCCTGATGTACAGTACATCAGCACATTGTGCAGGACATATAATTTCAACTGAACAGATAATATATTTAAAAAAAATGAAAGCACCAAAAACAAAAAATATTTCTGCAAATCATTACTCATGTTAACTTAGCTTCATTGTATCAATCTTTGCATGTATTATCAGAATACATAGGTGACTTAATTGATACAAAAACAGTAACCGCAATTAACAAATCTGTATTCCTCCTTTCCAGAGTTTTGTCCTCAGATCTGGTCTAATGTGGCAACACTCCAAAATATTTCAAGTACTGAGAAAATATCTTTTAATCTTCCCCAATTAAATAGATTTGAAAGGCACCCCTTAGAATTCTGCATATCACACGCTTTCCTTGTTGTCGCACACGCGCACAACCACGCGTAAAAGCTTGCATGTCGCACTGTTAAAGAACTAGTCAAACATACCGGAAGTAAAAATCTTCTCCAGAGACTCTGAATTGTTAATATAACCATCTGCAAAGTAAAAAGAGCATGACATTAAGCTCTGGGGAAGCAAAGAAAAAAATAGAGCTGCAGCAGAAAAACAGCACTACAGCAGTATTTGCACCTATCTAAATATTTTTTCTCTTGTTCGGACATGCAGTATAGCTTCAACCTGTACTGGCTAAGGTGTTGGCCTTAAGCCTAATAAGGCCATCACAAGGACAAGTATCTATGCTCAAACCTAAAAGTAATTTGTAATCGCCCTTGAGCTGCCAAAGGACAAGCTGCACAGTAGGCCTTGATGAGTCTGTTGGCCTGGTTTACGTGATCAGTTACCATAAAACTGTGGTTTTAGAGCACTGTCCAATCTGGTTCAAAACCCTTTATTTCTGTCTCTAAATTTTGATAAAGCCTTCTATTCTAGAATGCATTATAATGCAAACAACATTCAAGTTTGGGGGTTACTATGCCTGGATTGTTTGGGGTCCAAGCAATAGAAAGCTCTGGTTTACATGGAAACTACATATATTTACAATGCAAACATTTTTGTTTACATCCTTTTTAGCACACATATATTAAGGATTTCCTGAAGTGTAAAAAGGTATTTGTGGGCAAAATAAAACTCATTTGAATATTTGGGTCTTAAGGTAGAGCTGGGTCCAAACCAGGGGTCTGGTAAAGAAGCAGGTTTAAAAAAACTCAAATTCAAATCCACAAGTCTAAATTAATCTACCCTAAGGCTGGGAAATCTTGATTTTTCTGTTTCACAAAGGCTGCTATGAATTAGATCAGTCAACTCAAAGTAGATCCACACAGAGATTAGCACGTGCATAGCAAGTATGAAAAGCCATTATCAGTGGAGCCCTGATTCCTCAAACCCCAGTCCGTGTCGGTAGATGGCTGCTCTTACTGAGCCTGGTTCTGTTGGAGAACCAGGCTCAGTGAACATGATTGTAGCGACAGTGGGAAGGAAAAACTGCCTTTTAACAGGAAGAAACCTCCAGCAGAACCAGACTCAGTGTGAGAGCGGCCAAATGGAGAATGTGTTTAACACTAGAACTCCCAAGGCCGTCATTTTGATGGTTCTGAGATTTAAAAGGGGAAGAACTTTATTCACATTAATCATGTTAGTCATGTTAACTGACTTTTCCTGTTTCAATATTTCCTTCATTTTCACACATTTTTGTTTCATTTTGTTTTTTAAATAAAATAAAAACGTAAAAAATAAATATGGTAATTTTTTACCTCGATATTCCACAGCAGTCATTTGTAAATTCTTCCCGTGGTTGAGAGCAACCAACAAAGACCACTTTGGCTAATAGGGAAATATGGCTTTCAGAAAAAATCTAACAGTGAAACAGGCTTTAGAAATGCTTCAAATATTGATAGCGATTCGGGCAGAGAGTGAGAGAATGGTGAGGTTGACTGGGTAGGAAGTGGCTCAGGTTCTGACAGCGAGTCCGAGGATGATCGCCCACCCCCGGCAAACCTTAAGGTGGGCTATGGCAGGCTGTTTTTGCATTTATTAAAAGCACTCTCATCTCTGTTTTTCGCTAAAATAAGATTCTTCCTGATCAAAATCACACTCCTAGACTGAACTGTAGTAATATACTTTCTAAATTACTTTTTTTGCAGCAGAAACTGAATTTCTGAAAGTAAAATAACAAAATTATACTAGTAAGAATTAAGTTTTATATACCTTGAAATGTTTACACATTTTAAATGGCCGTACTAACATTTACCAGCTTAAGCGAATAAGTATTTACAGTATGATATCTGAAATACATTTCTTCATAGTCAAAATAATACAAATGCTGACCAGTAACAATAGGGAAAAGGAGATCTGAAGTTAATTTCCAGACATCAAAATCTTTTATTCTAGATGTGTAAGATGTTATTTTGCTTGAGATTGTCATTTTGACAATAGATTTATTTTTTTTTTTACAGATATCAGAAATACATATTCAGTCAAACTAATACATATCAAAAGGGCTTGCCACAGCCTGCTGTAACTATGGTAGTGGGTAAAGTTGGTATTTAGTTAAAATCAACTGGCAGTAGGTGAACATACAATCTAAAATGTTGTTCCAATAGATGGAACCTGTTCATCATATTATGGGGTTACTCCTCAGTTTGATTCTGTCTTCCATTAAACAGTAAATACTAAGTGGCTGTTTGTAGCCGCTGTGGATGCTGTCATCCCAATAATCATCCCAGTTATCAGTTCCATAGAATGGCTTCAGATTATGACAGTAGGCTCAGTAGGTTGTTATCCCTTCCTTAATCCTAATGCTAACCCTAAAGTAATTCCTTTTCCCCCCACAAAATACATCTATTTACGGTATTTGTAATTTTTCAACAGTTCTTCATGTACTGCAAAAATAAATAAATAACAAAAATATTTTTTATATCCGCATCTTGTTCATATTAATCAAACCAAAAAACTAAAAAATCTCTATCCTGTCGACTGAGTTGTAGAACCCTCTCCCTAAAAATATTTAATACTAGTAAAAATGCCGATCATTTTTTTTATAGGATCCTCGTCAAACAGACATGCAATCTTTTTTGTTTTAACATCTAATATGTCTAACATACCTAGCAAAGGATCTTTTTAATGCACAAAACTATGACAAAAATCTGACAAAATCAGGAAATAAAACAATGTGATTGGCTCTAAGAAGAGCTGAGACAGAGGACACTTCTTAAAACTATCATATATGTCTATCATATATAGAACATTTCCAGGATTAAAGGACTAATGTCTCAACAGGACCTTGAAAAACCCATTCATACATGTAACTTTAGTAAAACTAACAATTGCAGCAGTGTTTTCACAGGCCTGCCAAAAAGTCCACCAGACAGCTGCAGTCTAGAATGCTGCTGCCTGTATCCTCACTAAAACTAAGAAAGTGGAGCACATGACCTCAGTTCCAAAGTTGCTACACTGGCTTCCCATATCTCAGAAAAAAACCCACTTTAAAATACTTCTCATATTCTATAAATGAATGAACGACTTAGCTCCAAAATAAATTATCAACTTGCTGTCATTGTATTTAATGCCATGACTGCTCAGGTCTTCTGACTCTTATCTACTTAACACTCAGACCCAGAACTAAACATGGAGAAGTAGCTTTTAGTTCTTATGCTCTAGAAATTTGGAAAAACTTCCAGAAAACTGAAAAAACACTGACACCCTAAATTACTTTAAACTCAGAATAAAAATCAATCATTTTATCTTTTATATTTTTTTTAATTATTCATTTTATCCTTCAAGCCACTTAAGTGTAGAGCTTATTTTACTTAAATATGGTGTATTAATAAACTTGCCTTTCCTTTTTTATGTATCAATTCAGTTATTTATTTAGTACATGCACCAGAATTAGCCAAAATTGTATGTTTTATGTTGTCCATGGACAAACCCCAGTTGGTCTCTCTAAAATGAACAAAAGTTATACAATCAAAGTTAAAATGATTGACAAATACAAATTGATCTTAAACGAAAATATATAAATAATAAATACATGGAGAAACCAAAACCAATTAAATTTTTTTTAAATACACTTATTATCAGGTCATTATTACCATATTTCAAAGCCTGTCTTACCTTTCTTCCGAACTACTTCTTCTGACTCTGGTTTTCGAGTGACAGAAACAACTTTCATTAAGAGTCTGCTGCCCCCTTGTCGGATCAAGGACACCACCTGTTTATGGCCCACTTTCACTACATTCACCCCATTCACCTGGACACAATGCAAAGACAGAAATAAGATGAATAGATATTAAACTGAAGGTGTAATTTCATCCAATTCCACCTTCCTCCCATGATAAATTCATAGGACACACAAGTTATTATTACGCTATACTAATATATTGATGCTCCAAAGCTCAGAAGTCTGCCTACATCTGTACTGCAGAAATGACCTCCTATCTTCAACATAAAGGAAAATGCAGATCAAAACACAAGTGATGATGTTTTATAAACAACCTCAATAAGAAAGTCCCCTGTCCTGAGACCAGCCCTCCAGGCCACCCCCTCCACATCCACAGACTCCAAGTACTGCAGGGCAGGGAATGCTGGGGTAGGGGTGAATTCTTCAATGGGAGTCTCCGCTGTGAAGAAACATAATGATTTCACATGCATTCAGAAAGAAAATCTAAAGAATTAAGGCAGTTAAAACTGCACACACCAGTGTCTCAAAGACATGTACAGAGGTATCCCTGTTGGATAGAATTGTATTTTATTTTCCTTAGGGAGACTTCACACATTAGAAGACATGGAGAGAAATGATGGCAGGATGATTTTTCATTTGATAACCTTATCAAAAAATCTGAAGGTATTCTTAATAACAAAAGTAAAAATAAACATTACCTTTCATTTCATTGCCTTCTGTACTCTTCCGGTCTTGTCTGTATCGTTATGCTTTAATTTGCCTATCTATTGCCAACTGTGGGATAATAAAGGGCTATTCTATTCCATTCCATTTCATTCAATTCCTTTCCAATCTATTCTATTCTATTTTTTCCATTTTAGTCACCTTATTGGTAAATTTAACATCCAAGCTGTCTCTTCAACAAAGACTGGATGTGACATAAACAGCAGGATCTTTTGGATGATTACGGTATTATCCATTTAGATAATATTAAATAATGCTTTCCTTTGTGTTTTTTTAATGCACATCTTCAGACTCATTCTGCTTATTTCTCTCCTCAGTTAGGTTAATATACTGGTATGCTAATTCTAAAACAAACAAAAACTTTTAATCTGATGAACTTCGATAAATGGTGTTGTTACGGTACGTTGACTATTTTAAATCCCTTCGTTTAATTACTCCATTCCGACCAGATATGGACATCTCTTCTGATGGATCTGTGTCCAGAAAGCAGTGAGAAAGGCAGAGGATTATTTGCCTAACACATTTTTTGTTGCCAGTTTAACAGTCTCAATGGAATCTTTTGTGAGATACACCACAAGACCAAATACTTAGTGATGAGACTTCCCTCAAGCGTACTAAGACTACAATGGCCACAATGGTGGGTAATTCAAAATAATAGTTGTCTTAGGGAATATTTTAAAGGTAAAATATAAGCATGTTTACATTAATTCACTAGAATTTTAAAGAAAATTTTGAAGAAAAAGTATGCAACAAAAGTTAGGAAAATAGAGATCAATAAAAGAACTGTGGAGGAAACATTAAGCAAACCTTCAGATGATTTTACTGCAAAGGAGCCCTTATCAGCTGCTTTGACATTTACCTTTACTGCACTGTATGATGAAGTATTGAAAAAATGTTTTTCAGGACTAAACATGAGGAAATGAAAGGGATTCAGTGGAAAATCAAGTCCTGTCACTTCTTTGAAATGTCTTTTACAATTGAAACACCGATTTTCTGAAAGCTCATTTTTATTGGGATCAAGGGTGAGGCGTTCACAGTGTTCTACCACATCAGGATGGCATCCACAAGCTATCAGGAGAGATTACTATGCTGTTATTTTTCTTAAATAAATATTTAAGGATCAACTGCACATCTGGAAATATTTTTCTTTTATGTTTTCATTTTTTTTCTACCCATGGTTAGAAGCCTGTTAAGCAAATCCTTCGGAAAGTAGGGAAAAACATGAATTTTTCTTTTAATATCAAACATTCAGCTAACCCATTTAATTACAATATATAAAAGTCTTTTGTGTCTGTGCGCTGAGCTCTAAGAGGTCATTCATTATTTACTCTACTGAACAGGCAACTCAGGTGAATCCCATATGGGCTTAATGTCCGAATAATAACGATGCCGGAGCAATTTAATGTATCTGGGAATTAAAGAAACATCAGCAGCCCTGTTGAAGTCCTATTAGGTGATTAGATGGCAGCTAACCAAAAGATATGGCTGTTAAAGGGATGTGATATGATTGTGTAGAACTGGTGGTAGTTTCAAGCAATACTGCCAAATTTTTAATAAAGATCAAAATACATAAGTAACCATTTGGGCAACATCTTAAGCCATATCAATTGGTGAGGTAGCATACCAACCTATAATTGGAAGAGGGTTTATAGCTATACAGCCCAAATCTACTAAGTTTACATTCTGCATTTTTATTGAAGAACTCAGAGCCTCCTTGATACAAGAAGTTTCTTAAATATGTAGGTCTTGCATGCTGAATCTAACTGATACCTGCTTTAAACTCTGAACAGGCATGCAGCTGTGCATGCAAACCCCAAATCTATATGCACACATGCAGAAAAACCATACACACACTCTTCGAGCAGTATAACAAGTTGTTTAATCTCAAAGCGAGTCTGAGTAAATCACTGACACATGAGAGCTCTCAAAGGACCACTAAGTGAACTGCTGTGTGTGTGTTTGAGGGTATTGGAGAGTAAAAGACGGACTAAGAAAGAGAGTGGGGCAAGCCAAGATTCATGGTAGAGAGTGATGGAGCAGTAAAGCACACTCAGACTCCCGGCAAGCTGCCGAAGACAGTGCTGCCATGGTAACCAGCACGAGCAAGGAGCTGGCACGCGTGTGATAGTAAAAATGAATTTGCAGTAACAGAGCATGAGTCAAAAGGTGGATTTGGCTAAAAAGCGTGAGGTATAACAGAAATGGTCAACAGCAAGGAGAAAAGAGAGACGCTTGTAAAACAAACAAATAAAAAAATAGCCAAAGCAAAAATGAAAGGAATACTAAAGAAGAGGCTTCTCTTCTAAAGCCTAACACCATGTGTGATGAACAGATGGGACAGAAAGCTGACAGCTCGGCCAAGGATGACGCCACCAATAGCTCTCTCTCTCTAAATTCACACACACACACACAAACGCATGAGTGCATCTGAGTAAATAAGCAGATTGTTGACCAAGGCTAGTTGTGTCGTTGGCTAAAAGAGTCACAATAGTGACTGAGATGAACCCAGTGACTCAGATCCTCAAACTCCTTATGAGAACAGATCAATTAGAATGTATGCACTTGACTTGAAATCTGTGTAATTCAATTAATCAACTGTTTTATTGTAAATTTCCTTGAGATTGCATGTGTTTTAATTAGCCTATAAACAAACTGAATTGAAGTGAAATCTGAGAAACAATCTCACATTTAGAACAGAAGCTGTGGTCAGGATAGTTTTAGTGTTATCTTTATTCTGTGTGTTCTTAACTCACCTTTGGCTCCTCGCAAGACAAAACCGAACCCCTCATTTTCTTTCTTTTGTAAAACAGCATTCTTCTCCTCCACAATGTAGTCACTGTCGAGAAGATAGCACAGGTAGAGCAGGTATGAGTTCAACACCATCCTTGCACAGGCAAACAAAGAGGGTGGAGGGAGAGGGCAGTGGAGTGAAGAGGGTCGGCTGGTTGGGGGCTGAGCCATGGGAGGAGATGTAGGATCACACACACATAAATGGATGTACCCACACAGTTTTATTGTCTTTCCAAATCAGGTTAAAAGCAAAGAGAAAGATAACAGCAAAAGGTTTTCAGGAGTTGTACAAGTGTTTGTGAGACAGACACAAAGAAGAAGTCTGAGCATGTGAGAGAATAAGGAGGTTAAAAGGGTCCTCTTGACTGAAGTATCTTGAGGATAATCTCTAAAACCTGCAGATGATCCCCTACAGGTAATTCCGTTGAGGAGTTAGTTCAGGGATTAAAAAAAAAGAGAAAGACTCAGATGCAATACTGTGCCCTGACTGATGACAAAAGAAACAGGACGTGAAAGTAAGCAAAGCAGTGTAGGTTGTTCTAAGCATCTGGTGCCCTTCAAATCTTTCACAATAAATCCTTTATCTATGCACTTGTTTAAATTCTCAGAGCCAAACGTGTGTTTAGTGCCATAGCTTTAAAATGCAAGGAGCCCTTCAGGGTTGTCATGGTAATAACAAATAACAAATAAACAAAAAACAACAACATGTAACAGAAGGCTGATGCTGGTGGTGTAATGTGTTATGTTGTGGCCTACATGGCTGTGCAAATTCTCACTCGTTCCGGCAACTACAAAACAGGCTCAAATTGGAGGTAACCAGACTTTTGCTCAATTTTCTGAAAACTTCAACACCTCTGCGGAAGTCTCTGTCAATTCTAAAGTAATCTGTAATTGGAGTGATTAGAATTTTAAGAAGAATGGAGCTCCATCATCCAAGGCACAGCAAAGGATTTTATAGCTATGTTTTCTGTTAGACAATTGGAATCATCATGCGTGTGTTTGCTTAACTTCTTCTGAATAAGCTCCAGGACAAAATTGTAGAAACCACCATCCTCTCCCTCTGTTGAATGAGGAACTTTTCATTTTTAACAATGATGGTTTCCTTCATCCCTCTTCAAACCATATGTCCATTCTGTCCAGGTTCTGATCATTTTGGTATTTAAAGATTTGTTCTTTGTTCTTGAAGCGCACGTGTATTATCATCCACTACAATATTGGATGGTAACATCTGAAGCGGCTGCAAAAAGCCACTCAGTTTTTACTGTGTGATGTAAAACAGAATGAAACTGAGGACGAACCCAAGAGTTGATCCACAGGTCCTGCCTATTAAAATGTTTTTATACATAATTTTCACCTGCTGCCAGAAGATTTCACCTAAATAGATACATTGATCCACTAACATTCAAGAAATAATCCGGTAATTTTAATATGGTGACAAACCTATGGCAAGCTAATTTGACATATGTTAGTTTTACTGAATATGCTATGTATTTCTGATATCTGAAAAAAACATTTTTTCTTGTCAAAATGACCATTCCAAAAAAATGATATTCTTCACATTTATAATAAACACTCTGGATGTCTAAAAATAAATTTCAGATCTCCATTTCAAAACTGCTACTTAAAATGTGCAAAAATTTTTAGGTACATAGTTTTTTTTATTTATGTCTGAAATTCAGTTTTTGCTGCAAATATGTAATTTAGAAAATATGTTATTACAGTTCAGTCTAGGAGCATAATTTTAATCAGGAAGAATCTTATTTTAGTGATCTACAAATGGAACAACAAAGAGAGTGCTTTTAATAAATGTTAACCTGGCCTGCCATAGCCGCTTCATATAAACTCATGCATTAACTGGGGCAAAAATGTTCTCCTTTGCAGCTGTAGTGCAGTTTTTCAGTCTTTTAAACACATTCTCCATTTTTTTTTTTCATTTCTCCATTAAAATCTCTAGTGATGTGAAATAGGCACTT